GAGCCTGTGTCTCTATCTATGGGAGTTTTTGAGTTTACGAGAAAGTTCAAGGGACTTTGCAGTATCGAAAACCAGATTCAATGCGGATCAATTTAGGTATATGCAAGGAAGAGGCTTATCAGACTTGAAGAACATCAATGGCCAGGATGAGATCCTGCCAGTTCTGATCGTTGGTGCAGGACCAGTTGGGCTTGTTCTCTCTATACTTCTCACCAAATTAGGTATCTACTGAACTCTCTTTACCAATTTTGAATATACCCTTTTCCTCTGTTTGCTTGCTAAGAAAAATCATGAACTGAAAGCGAAGACCACTTGCAAACTTATGCTCTCTATCCATTTACTTGGTGTTGTATTGACTAATATTAGCATTGCCTTTTGGTATTCAACCGCCATAACTTACTAGCCAAATCTGGTGAATTGCTTGCTTATTTTTCAGAACTTTGTTTGTTTTTCCAAATACACATGGAACTTTTTAGTCATCAAGTTACTTGTCTGAATTATTTGTTTTGGTATTGTAGGCTTGTTTTGGGTGTTGGTTGCCCTTGTAGCATAAAAATTGTTGTTAGAGCAATGGCAGCGATCCTTGTGGTATTCTAAGACCACCATTGTTAGAATTTGGTGTTTTGCATTTGAGAATGCAATGAAAGTAGTTGCTTCAGATTAACTGATGCTTCATGGTTTTCCTAGGCGTTAAGTGTGCAGTTTTGGAGAGGAGCAGGACATTTCCAAGACATCCACAGGCACACTTCATCAACAACCGATCTATGGAGGTTTGTTTTCTTACATTGAGATTGTAGTCTGATTCGTCTTGAAAATATGAACAACTCCATTGAAAAGTGTAATTTGGATTTGATGTAGTTTTCTTTATCAGATCTTCCGCAAATTGGATGGCCTCACAAAGGAGATCCAGAGGTCCCAACCACCAGTAGATTTTTGGAGAAAGTTTGTATACTGTATATCTCTCACTGGTCCTCTTCTTGGGTCAGTTGACCATATGCAACCTCAAGGTAGGATGAATATCTGTAGTATCACAATCTGGTCACCTGGATGGATGATTTTCCAGAATTTCTTATTTTGCTGTCTCTATTATTGGTCATGGGGGTGTAGAGATTATAAAAAACTGGCCATTATTGTGACAGTTTCCTTATTTATGGTTATAATTTAATGTAAACTCATGGGTTTCTAGATTTTGACAGGGTTGTCAGCCCAATCTCTGTTGCACACTTCTCACAGTACAAACTGACCAACTTACTACTTAAGCAGCTCGAAAACCTTAGCTTCCATGTTGGTACTTGTGAAGAGCTCAAAAGTCTTAATCAAGGGCCACTCAAGGAAAGGGAGATATTAATGGGACATGAGTGTGTATCAATTGGTGCCACTGACCGCTGCATTACTGTAACTGCATCCTTCCTCAAGGACGGGGTTTATATGGAGAATGATATCCAGTGTAGTTTCCTAGTTGGGACAGATGGTGCAGGAAGTACTGTGAGGAAGCTTGTAGGAATAGATATGAGAGGCGAAAAGGACTTGCAGAATCTTGTTAGTGTCCATTTCTCAAGCCAAGACCTTGGACAGTACTTGCTCAGTGAAAGACCTGGCATGCTATTTTTTATTTTTAATACTGAAGGTATAGGGGTTCTTGTTGCTCATGATCTGAAGCAAGGGGAATTTGTATTGCAGGTAGTGCAGGCTGTGATATATGTTCAGGGATTTCTGTTGGTTTATGACTGCTGTAACCTGCACAATAAACCTACAATTTGGTCGTTATCTTTTGCCTTGCAGGTACCATTTTATCCACCTCAGCAGAAGCTTGAGGATTTCAGCTACAAGGTATTTTTCTGTCGTTACCAAATGATCTATTACGGTCAAGAAGATATACAGAAGAATGCTATTTGGTAAAGTAATAAGAATATAAGGGATTTTTGCTATTGATATTCTGCATATCAGATGTACTGGGTGTTTAGGAGGTTTAGGTGAATGGTATAGTATAGCAAGTAAGGATATGATGATTCCATTATAATCGTATTGTTCGGAGGATTCAACTTTTTGTAGATGTGTGAAAGGTTAATCATCAAATTGGTTGGCCAAGAGCTTGCAGACATAGATGTGATAGATATAAAGCCATGGGTGATGCATGCTGAAGTTTCTGAGAGATTTGTATCTTGTGACAACCGAATAATATTAGCTGGTGATGCTGCTCATCGTTTTCCTCCAGCTGGTGGTTTTGGTATGCAACTTGTTTTGTGCGGTCTGAAAATTTATTTTGCATTTGTAATGAGAATTTCTTTGAATGCTGCAAGGTATGGAGACCCCATGGACAGCAATGTACTGTACTTAGTTGCATTTGGAACCAGTGGATATTCCTTTTTTCATCTTATTTGTACATGCATGGAGGAACTCTGATTATAAATACAGGAGGGATAGAGAAAGGAGAAAGTATATGATAAACTTCGTAGAACTTAAGGGCACTGAGAATCAAGGAAAAGGGAGGGGGAACAAAAACATCAGTGTTTGGCATCCGTGTATGGTATATCAAAATTCCCTCCATTTTTCTAGAGTGCCAATGATAGTAGAAAATGCAGTAAAATTATGTGTCATAATATTTTGTTCTTTTGTATAATTTTCCAGTTAGGGAGTGTCCATTGTCATTGTTTGGACATGTGTATGAGGTTTGACAATGAATTAGTATGTTGTTAGTTTTACTAGACTGCGAATAGGTTCTTAATTTTCTGGAACTCGAGAAAGAGATCAATTACAAACTCTATACGTATGCAGGAATGAATACTGGCATTCAGGATGCTCATAATCTTGCCTGGAAATTAGCCTCTGTTATCAAGGGTACTGCTCCATTGTCACTTGTTGCCACTTATGAAATGGAACGTAGGCCGGTAGTGCTCTTCCTTTAAATATTTTTTAATTCTATGTTTCTGTTAATACTATACTTATAATTTGATATTTATTAATATCCTACTCTTTCCATTACCAGATTGCAATTTTCAATACTGAACTCAGTGTCCAAAATTTTAGAGCAGCAATGGAAGTTCCTGCTGTCCTTGGTCTTGATCCAACTATTGCAAATTCAGGTATGGGAACAAATTCCATTGCATTGAAAATTGGGTCCCGTATTTGTCTTTGGTTCAACCACTCAAAATGTGGGTCAAAGAAATCCTCCTTGCTTTTTAGTGGTCCATATCTTTCTTCTTTTTTGACAGTGCATCGAGTTATCAATAATACGTTTGGTTCCATATTACCGTCTGGACTACAGAGGGCGATTCTGGATGGGCTTTTCACTATAGGTCGAGCACAGCTTTCAGATTTTGTCTTGAATGAGAACAATCCATTTGGTTCTTTGAGACTTGCTAAACTAAGGAGAATCTTTGAAGAAGGAAAGAGCCTTCAACTCCAATTTCCTGCTGAAGATCTAGGTTTCAGGTATTATAGTTATCTGGGCTTACATTCTACCCCATCGTACATTTCTTTTTACTTGTTACCGTCTATAGTTCAAAGATAACCACATGATATGCACAAATAACTCCATAATGATGATGACAAAATGACCTGAGTGCCCCCTACACATAAGAGTAGATATATGGCGATTATTCTGTCTCTCAGTTGACTTTCCCTATTATAAGACATTTAAGTTAGACGAAAAATGTTATGACTGTATCTTGGTCCAAAAAGACAAGGTTCTGTGGTTACATTTGAACCATAGGGGTGTACCGCAGGAGGGAAAAGTGATATTTGCCATTACTTTACAAACTGTAGCTAATTATCATCAGCTCATGCCATTGTTGTGCTGACGTACTTTGAGGTGTTGGATATCGACGTTGACGTGTCTGTTCCAACAACCTGGATGTTTCTGTGATAAGTCCATCTGAACTTGTGGTTTTAGAATTGTGTAATTTCTTTTATGGCTATGTGATCTAGTCATTAAATCAGGAGAAAATGAGTCATCTATGAGATATTATTGATTCAGCCAGGGCTCACGAGCTTCCAGATGCCTTTCTTACTCGTATGTTTCATTTTAGGTACCTTAAGGGAGCAATTGTACCAGATGATGATAGTGTGTTGGAAGCACCAGAAGCCCCTACTGGTCGTAGGCGGGACTATGTTCCCTCTGCAGATCCAGGCTCAAGGCTGCCTCATATGAATGTAAGGTTGTTAGCAAAACTATCAAGTGAGGTATGCACAGTTTCATCTCCTTTTTTATCCTTCTCCCTTCTCTTTTAGGAGCACTGTGCATTGTTTTTCTTGTTCCCTTTTTCCTTTTGCCAAGCAGCTAACATTCCAACCTTGTGTATCTTGATGATTCTGGAAGTCTTAATTTCCTGACTCCCATTGTTCATTCCTGTCACTAACAACCTATAAGTCACGAGTTTTCTATTTTACCAAACCTTATCTTTTAGTCTCTAAGTGGGTTTCAACTTTGAAACTTGTGCTGATGGATTTGCATCACATTTTCCATTCTTGTTTTCTTTATGCTTTAAGATGTTTTGTAGGAAACGTTTTCCACATTGGATCTCGTAGCAGTGGATAAAGTTGAGTTTCTTCTTATTATTGCACCAGTGGAGTCATCCTACCGCCTAGCTCATGTTACATTCAAGATAGCAGAGGAATTCAATTCTTCCGTAAAGGTGTGTGTGGTGTGGCCAGATGGTACTGTTGATGGAGCTGCAAGAAGTAAGGAAGCATTTGACCCTTGGGAAAATTACATAGACGTTGTGGAAGTGAGGCGGTCAACAACTTCATTGTCATGGTGGGATATCTGCCAGATGACACACAGAGGAGCCATTCTAGTTAGGCCCGACGAGCACATTGCTTGGCATGTGAAGTCAGTAGTGGTTGGAGATCCTACTTTGGAGATGAAAAGGGTTTTCTCTTCCGTTTTAGGAGTCCAATCCACCGGCCTACAGTAAATGAATATGCTTGGCAAATAATTCAATACTTGCATGAAGGATCAGGAGCTGTCTTCCCCTTCAAGCACTGGCCATACTGAACAGCACAAGCATGGTGCGAACTTTGCTTCTCTATGTTGATGGGAACTACAGTAGGAAAATAACACTGAATATGGTCAATGACATTTAATTAACTGAATTTTTTTTGAGGCTTCTTAAACATTTTACAAGACAAGAATCCTAGGTTAGAAGCACTCCTGAATCACCTTCTTTTAGATTGGAATATTGGATAGGTGTTACTTGAGGTTTGCAGAGATTTGTTGTGTCCATACTTGCGCTTTACCTGGTTGATTTTCATGTAGATGCTTATATTTTCAGTGTCTCTTTATCTGTCAGCTACACGCCATATGATTTAGCATTTGTTTCTCTGTAAATCTTTCACTAATCCATGCCAGAGCTAGTGCCCTACATTCCCAGTCCCCGCCCCCAAATCCCTGACTAGGGACATTGTGGGAGACAGGTGATACCACTGAACTACAATGGTGGCTCATTGTTGCGGAGATTTACAATAATCCTCCGTTTGGTACGATAGAAAATTTGAAGGATGAAAAGTTAGAGGGATAAATAAAACATCATGTTTGGTAAGGAAGGAAAATAGGAAGGATGAAAAAGTGGATGAATTAATTTTTCTTTTAACTCACCAAAATTAATCCTTCCAAAATTGAAAGGAAAATGTATGAAAAGTTAATTATTTATGGTGACATATATTTTATTTGTCTATATATCTTTTAATAAATATATATATAATTTTAAAAATAAAAATAAAAAAATATTTTTTTCATCTTAACTAGGTGTGAAAATTTTCAACTCAATACGATGACACGACTCAAACTCAGTATGAATTTTGACACTAATTTGATTATAATTTAACACGAACTTAAAAATGACTCGACACGTTAATAAGAAATATAAAAGACTCATTATTTTATGATTCAACATGAATTTGACATGACACGATTCGATTGTCATTCTTAATTTTAGCCAGTACAAAAAAAAATAAAAAAAATTAGTCATTTTTATTTTTCATCTATCCAACCAAATACAAAGAAAAGAAGGTGTATCATTTCTACTTTTTATCATTGAAAGATAAAAATTGTATTTCTCCTACTTTTCATTATTTCTACCTTCCATATTTCCTACCAAATGGCGCATAAAAGTCAATCCACACTATTAGTGAAAAATTTGACAAAACAATTTACTATGAATACAAAGAATACTCGGTTAGAGCAACTCCAAAAGGCTAGTTAAAACCTTTTTTTTAGTTGTTTTAGATAGTTTCTCTTTAAAATGTGGCTCCAACAGACTAACTATTACCCTATCTATTTTCTATATCCCCATTTTCACTAGCTACATCTAGCTAACCACTTATCCTTAGTTACTTCAGAAGTTGTTGGTCTAGTGTTTGGATGAGAAGATCGATGGAGAGATGATGACATCTAGTTTGATCAAACTCGAAAGTTTTGAAGTGATTTTGTATTGAATTTTGTGATTTAATTTGAGAGAATTTGGTTTAAGAGTAGTAATTTTTAGGAGATGAGTTCTCTGTTGTAGCCTATAATTGATTAAATTTGTACAATGTATAGTTAAATTGTTATTTTTTGAATTTTATTATTGAAAGTTAGGTAAAGTTAGTTGAAGTGGTTAGATAAAATAGAAAACGTTATTAGAGTGAATTTAAAAAAGTGATTAGTTAAATGAGATAATATAATATTTAAATATATTTTGAGTAATTATTTTAGATAGTATTGTTTGCGATATTCTTACTATCCACAAGGTAATATGCCAGTTCTAGGTAACAAAGTCATGCTAGAAATGTTTTGCCCCTTACATGTCTAGATGTATCATTTCTTTGCTTCAAGCGCTAATATCAATAAATGCACCTTCAATGTAATAGTTCAAATGAAAAGATGGTAACCTAATACAGGCATCCACTAATTGCGTTACAGACAACAATATTGTATTCAATGTTAAAAGACAGGTCTGCCAGTTGCATTCCTCAACCACAGAGGGATCCTATCAATGATCACAGATGCTGTGAAATGTAATCTGCCGGAGGATCAAGCTTTAATACGAAAGCCCGCGACTAAATGTACAATTATTGCCGTGGTAATTCCGAGCAACCCACCTGCAACAACCTGCAAAATACATTTGAAAATTCAGAAGGGTTTTCGCTAACAAAAACTAAAATTTTCATCAGCTTTATATATAGTTGCACCGAAGGAATCTCCAACCTACAGGCTGTTATAAAATTTATCATTAAAGACGGGATTGATCTTACAGGGAAGTCAGAGGACGAGGAGAAACAAATTATAAATGTTTATGCAAAGATAACAACAAAGTTCTCAGAAGAGAGAAGTGTAGTACGTTAGGCAAAGCAGATAAAAAGAAATATTAGTTCTATAAATAAATATGGGCAATCCGCCATGATAGGTGTACTAAAAGTCCAAATTTAATAGACCTTAATCTTTCACAGCATGAAGTCCCTATACGGGTAGGAAAGATGAACGTCTGAGTTTTGCAGAAAATCAACTTCAACTTTTAAAAGGTGCAAGTTTCATCTTACAAAAAGCCTGTGAGAAAGAACATAATTTGCCAATAATGTACTCAAGGCTCAAGCGATAGCTCAACAGGGATAAGCAAATAGAATTGGCCTTTTTTTAATAAAAGGTTCAATGAATAACCAAGTTTCCATTTGCCTTGTCTCTTCCTCTACAAAGCATAACCATAAGAAAAGATACTGTAAAGTCCTTTTTCTTAATACTCGGTCTTCTCGCCGCGTTTTGTGTATTTTCAAGCAATTGGAACATGCTTTTGGCAACACATGCACCTTTATATTACTGTGGTAACCCGTAAGGCATTGATAGATCTGTAGCAATATAATAAAAGCTATCAAAGAGAAACAAATGCACCCAATAAAAGGTGCAGGTGGCACCAATTACAATAGTGGAAGGCAAGTCATCCAAGACAGTAAAGACCCAAAATGCAGCTGTAATCAACTTTTTGACTTGCACAAAAGCAAGCATGCCAACAGGAAGGGGTGGAGACTGGTGAGAAAGAGAGTTGCAGTTAAGGCAGGGAAACTACACAATGACCAATGGCCTGTGAGCAACGTGGCATAAATAAACTTAAATAATCAGAAAGGACTCAAGTTCATCTCAAGGTTATATGTTTTATTGTGTAGAGTATAAGTTTTTTGGTTCATATTTGTGTTTGCTCATGGAATGTAACCTACATTTCTCTACAGTTTACACTATTGATTGCAAACCACGGTGAACAGTAGCATAAGTATAATATGCATGGTGGCATTTTCCAAAATTCCTTATTACAAAGGAGAAACGGGCAAATATCCAGAAAAGCAAAAAACAAAAATAAAAATTAATATACAAAGATTATCATCAGTACATAACAAATGGATGGGTTTTCATCTTAATTTGCTCTGAGTAATCAAAGTAGTATGATGAGGATCTATTTAAAAACAAAGCCATCCATAACAAAGATTAATGATGAGGAATACAATTACCACTTAAGACATCAAAACAAACCTGAGGAGGGGTGTGGCCAAGAAGTTCACGTAGTGGTCTGATCTCAGCCAGAGGATGTTCAGCGGGAAGTTCGTATACAATTTGATTCAAAACCTGAAAAATCCCGATTCAAACATATGAATAAGTAAAATGCCTAGAAGGCAGTTCCAGCAGCTATGTTGTATATCTATTCAAATATAAATGAATAAATCAACTAAATACAAATCCCAATTCAAACATGTGAATAAGTAAAATGCCTAGAAGGCAGTTCCAGCAGCTATGTTGTATATCTATTCAAAAATAAATGAATAAATCAACTAAATCCAAACCTCTGCCTGGCGTCCAGCGTGTAACCTCACACCAGTTGCATCATACATCACCTGCCACAAAATTCTGCTCATAAGAGACATAAAGCATCTATAATACAATACCAGAAGTGAACATTTTCCTCATACAGTGACCTCTTAGTCTTTCTTTTACTTTTCTTTTTTTTCCCTATTGTGGTATGTTCACTAAAAAATTGATCAGCTAAGTCATAACAAACAACATAGCATCACTGGACAAATGAGAAAAAATAATTGTAGTTATAAATAAGTGCATTGGACATTTGCATCGTGTTCTTTTTTAAGTATTTGTGCTACTGGCACAAGAATCAACAATCAAAATTATGAAAAACCCAAAAAATTAAACGCAAATACATTAAACAAAAATACTTGGAAGACAGGAGGTGTTTAATCACGCACAGCTAATTTTGCTTGGCTATTTCTCACAAAAAAGTGAAATTGTGAGTTTGAACTTATAGCAGCCACTCAATTAACAAGAACCAAACCAGGCAATGACCCCATTTCTTCTAAAATTAGAAATAGGGGCACATGACTTCTTGTAGTTATATATCGGAAATGACACAAAGTTACATTTTTCTACAACTGATATAGACAAAACACAGGTCACATGAAAGTGGAATCAAGGCAGTGATATAGATAATAACATTTTCAAATAGATGCATCCACAACTAATATATTCTAGCTTTCTTGAGATGGATTATGACCAGATGAAGAGAGGGATCATACAACACATGCTAAGATAAGTGCAGCTGCAAACAGTGATCCTCCAAAGCCCTCTTGCAAACCAATGGCCAATGCAAGAGCAGTGACAGTTGCAGAATGGGATGATGGCATCCCACCAGATCCAACAAGTCGCTTCAGATCCCATCGTTTCTCCTTGTACCTGCAAATCTATGACATATTAAGACTCTTAGGATAAACAGTTACAATTCTTAGCTACACCAAGAATTGGATCCAAACCAAGTAAGAGAATGTACCAAACAAGATATTTATTAAAATGTAACCAAAGAATTCAGTTGACTGCATAATTTCACATATTGGTTTCTTTTCCATTGGCACTTAGACCTATGTTTTTCATTAGGAGCAAGCAGCCCACCGGGTTATCATACAATAAGCTAATCTCAAGAGTCTAATCAGAGTGCCATGCACTGCTTGTCACTTTTAAGACGAAAACACGGTCAATACAAACCTCAGAAAACCTACTTTTAGTAAACAAATGCACACTTGAATATAAGAACTTGACTAGGTCTAGGTGACAAATGTCTGTTTTTTTTTTGTTCTTTCTCCACCAAAGGATCAGAAATTTACGAAAAATTATAGCTAACCCATAGCAAGAAAGTTCAAAGACCAGATATGCAAGAATTGAACTGGAATTGAATGATAGCATCCAACCAGAACCCAGAAGAAATAATACATGACAGAGTCACCTAACAGAATCAAGATCCAGTTTTCAATGGTTTATTGC